TCAATCTATATTACAATATATTATATCTATGTATTTACATTCTTATGCCTTGTCTCCTCGTTCACAAATATGTCATCCTTCCTCTTGGGTAGGCCTTCCCAGTTTCTATTTCCTACCATTTTATATAAAATTTGTAAAGTAACTCAAGTCTTATAACATTAATTCTAGGGCAAAGACCTCAACCTTAAATCTCAACGAGCCTCTACAGGTTCTTAGTGGTGTTGTGGCCATTGCAGACATTGAGGGATTATATGACTAGGTTAAGGAGTTTTGACAGGAGCTTGCGAATGGGTGGCTTCGAGATTTGGGAAAGGTCACAACCTATCATGAAAATGGCCTTACATTATTTAGCTATGAAGTAGAGGAACTTGCCGAGGAGCTTTCGAAGCTAAGCGATGGAAGGTGGGGCGTCATTGATGGTCCTCCATCTACGACGATCGATATGAGATAGAGGAATCATTCACCAACGTATTTATGGAAAAAACTTGAGGTTTTCTAGCCTTTCATCGCAGTTCTTGTCCATTGACATCATTGGTTTCTTTGAACGCTTATTCAACCAAGAAAATAGCTCTGATTATATTCTGTTGTTTTCGGGTATGCAAGGGTTAAGGGTTAGAGAATATATTGATGGGATGAGATATTCACAGAGAAAAAAGAGAGGAGAGGTTAAACGAAACAAAGAATGAATTAAGAGACAATGGCTAGAGTTGAACAATTTATTCATTTGATATTCGCTCGAGATGGTTGGGTTAAACTCAACGTTGATGGCTGATCTAGTTCGATATGAGGAACAAAAACATGCTATGGTGGAGTGATTAGGAATAGTGCAGGAGACTATCTCATTAGCTTATCACGTCACCTTGGCACTAGCAACACTTTAAAGACATAATTGTGGGAGATACTCACTGGCCTATGGCTTGCTTGGGAAGGAAGGAGGCTATAGCCTATAGGAAGGTCTAACTTGAAGTGGGAAATTTTTAATATGCTATTGTCCTTTCATGGTCCTTTTATTAAGGAAATGACGTAGATTTTTTATTTTATTTTTCTCTCTTTTCTCTTTACTCTTCTCTCTCCTCAATCTCTCTTTCACTCTCTCTCCTTTACCCCACCCAATTTCCTGTGGGCCAGGAGCGCCACATTTAATCTACTAAGAACTTGTCCTCAACCTCATTAAGAATAGGTGTCAGAGACAACATCCCATGTCTTCGCTGATCAAAGTCTTCAGGGGGCGTTTGGTACGCGAGATTCTTCAAGAATTCCGAAAAACTGAATTTTTCTAAATTTTAAATTTACGGATATTATCATAAACTGAATGTAAAAATTATATTTTTAAAAATTGAGATTCCCGGCTAAATTTCTTTTTTCCCGTACCAAACGTCCCCTTAGGAACTTGTTGAGTAGGCAATGGTCTATTAAGATATCTCATATATACAGGGAGGCAAATGAAGTTATTGATCATCTCACGACACACGACTTTTTGACCCTTATAACCCTTTAATAATAATTAATTATCAAATTGACTTTCATTATAAACTATTTCGAAAATTTAACCCCCTCAAAAAACATAACACCAATTTGTCCCTGTTTGACCGTTGACCACCAAGCCTACTCGGGTACACCCCTCCCTACCCGGGTATATTTTGAAATTTTTGATCTACCCGAATAGGGAGGGGTGTACCCAGGTATTGTTCTTGGTACTGAAAATTTACCCGGGTAGGGTAGAAAGGGGTGTACCCGAATAAATCTCCACATCCTCAACTTTCAAGAAGATGGCTCTCACTGAAGAACCTCAAGATGTACAATACTCTCCCTCATTCCTCGATGCCCTTCTATGTGAAGAGAAAGATACCTTTGAGGACGATTTTGATGCAAACGGTGTTGAGGTTGAGACCAATAACAACGACCCATCTGTGGGAAAGTTGCAATCTTTGCCTTTGGTTTTGCTAGACAATGACTTGTTCTGGGAAGACGAGGAACTTATCTCCTTAATCTCAAAAGAGGGAGAGACCCATTTGTGTTCTTGTAATCTCATCGCTGATGGAACACTAGAAGGGTCTCATGTTGAGGTGTGAGTTGGAAGACGTGAAGATTTATCCGGGTACATCTCTTTCTAACCGGATAAATAATTCAAGCAATTTTCCATTACCAAGAACAATATCCGGGTACATTCCTCTCTACCTGGGTAGACTTGGTGGTAACGGTTAAACATGGACAAATTGTTGTTATGTTTTTTGAGGGGGTTAAATTTTTTAAATAATTTATAATGAAAATCAATTTGATAATTAATTATTAATAAAAAATTATAAGTGTAAAAAAAACACACTTTGAATCCCTCATGAGACACGATCTTTGCATCATCAGCCACCAGTTAATTGTAGTAACATCCTAAATAGGGATAGAATGGATGTACGTGGGCTTAATTAGATTTTGTCATAATTGGCCTGTTTGTTTAATTTTCCTTTGATTCACCCACCCACCCACCCAAAAAAAAAAGAAGGAACAAGAGAAAGGGCACACTGACCCACGATTTGAGGGATACAATTGTGTCATGTGTCCCAATCACGTAAGAGGGTGTCAGGTCTTTGGCACGTTTAAAGGCACTCATTCCTACCGTGTCTTTAAATGTAAAGCGCTTTTTTTTTTTTAGAAAAAAGGAAAATTTCATAAATATAATTTACTTTTTTTATTACTTACAACCTTATTTTTTTTTCTTATCAACTATTCCGGTGATTTTTTTCTCTCTTTCACATTCAATCCATCCAAACTGATTGCTCGTTATTGGGTACAATGAAACCATCACAAAATCTGCCATAAGATCAACAATGAAGTATTAAATTGTCCTTTGTCTTCTTTTTTTCCTTTGCTCGTTTTCTTCTCTCTCTATCTGGAATTTAAATTTTGCTCATAGAATTTCACATATGCTATAGAATATCTAGTCCAAAATTGATGATGATATTTTATGATCATCAAAATGGTTACAAATCCCATTTTCTGCAGCTCTAATTATCACGTTCTGATACATCTACAGGTCTCTCATAGCAGCTTACTTGCTGGTCCTTAACGGTTATACCAATGTCTTCCATCTAGAAGGTGGTCTTTAACCATGGTTTAAAGAGGGACTACCAAGTCTTTAAGAGGAGTAAATCGAGTGCCATGAATGTGCATGTAGTGAAGCCTAGAGCTAGTTGTCCATAACGAGAATGTTGATTAATGCATATGAAGAATAGAACCGATGAATATAAATGTCAACATTGCACTAGTGCAGAAAATTAGTATACAAGAATTGACAATAAAATTGTCTAGTTATATTGATCTCATTGAACTAGGAGCCCACTCCTCATCACCCCAATAATCTTCTCTCCAACCTGGCTCTTGAGCAACAACCTTTTTTCACGGATTACCCTTTATTAATGTCAGTGCTCCTCCTTCTTTCATCCTCCCAAAGCATTAGGATCATTAAAAACATCAAATGCATTTTTGTCATTTAACCAAGAGAATTATTTGTCTCATTTCGTTGGAGATAGTTCTTTCATGTTATACACTCATCGAATTTTGTGTCAGCTTTTTTCATTTCTTTTTCCTTTTGTTTTAAAGTGGGGACCCCACATATTTATCTCACACACATGAAAGAACTATCTCAAGCAACATGAGATTAGTAACCCTCTTTAACCAAAGAAGTTCACACTCACCCTCAAAACTCAACACCAATGCAGTAATATATGCATCCCCCGGTAAGTCTGAAAATGAGACAACAAGTTGAGGGTCCATGTTTACCAAAGGATCAAATGCAGGAGGAAGGGGAACATGCACAATTGTAATAACCAATGCACTAATATATGCATCCCCCGGTAAGTCTGAAAATGAGACAATAAGTTGAGGGTCCATGTCTACCAAAGGATCAAATGCAGGAGGAAGGGGAACATGCACAATTGTAATACTCTTAGCTCTCAGCACACGAGCAGAGGCTCTTGATTTTGAGGTAACATGAACAACTATAAAATGCTTTGGCTTCCAACCAGTTGCATTCACTGCAAGCTTCCATCTCTCAGCAATCACCCTCAGCTGCATTCACTACAAACAATGAAAAAGTTAAAATATTATTTGAGAGATGGATAAAATGAGCAAGTTAATTCATTAACATTGTTAAAAAGAACTTGCATTGAAAAAAATCGCAAAGAGGTAATTAATAAAAAAATAATAATACAAATAATGGCACCTCCCCAACACCAAACATGTCATTAATTTCTTCACGCATGCTTAATAGCAAAGTTAATTTTTTTTTTCTTTTCAAAATCACCACACGTGCCGTCGATTTATTTATATAGTTGTTAATTTAGCTTTTGCAAAAAGTGGGTAATAATGCTAGATTTATTTCAAAGTTCGATCTCCATAAAATGATAGTTTGAGCGAAGGACATAATTTTTCCGTTTGTTTGTTTGTTTTTTTTTTTTTCCGTGAATGGATTTTTATGAGATTAATTCATACCCAGATTAGGGTAAGGTGTGTTTTGGCATGTCATTATTAATGAATTAAATGTGGCCAATCATATTATACTACTTTAGATTTCGAAGGCCATCAAATCTTCCTTCCTTAAAGAGAAAATTTCTCATTTTAATTTTGAGGAAGGTTCTTTTTGAGATTGCATTAAGGTATGGCAATCAAATTTAGTGTGAAACGTTTTGCAAAGAGAAGGTTTCTCCTATTTTTTTTAATTAAAAAAATGTGCTAAAGACCGTTCTAAATATTTTAAGAAATGTTTTAAGGAAACTAATTAAAATTGAATCCCTATGCCCTACAACCCTTGTGATTTTCCTACTATATTCCTAATTTTATTTTCGATTTTTTGATTTTTATTGGTCAATGAGGCAACTTGTGTGTGTATCTATCTAAAATATCTCATGGCGTGTTGGGAGTTTCTAGCAAGTTGACAAGAAAGACCCTCATCATTACACTTACACACACGACACAACACACACACACACACTTACTTTAGAGAAGAGAGAGAAAGAGTGTATTAGGGATTGGGACCGCTGAGCTGACCATATATAAAATAATTGTAACAAAAGAATCTTTCTCTCTCTCTCTCTCTAAGCAGCCGGTGGCCATGGAAGCATTTCTCTGACAAAGCTAAATTCTCTGTTCACATTCTTTTATTTCCTTTTTGGGTTTTTCACTCTTCATTTCAAGCTTCAATCTTTTCTCTCTACTGTGTCTGCATCTGCTCTCACACCCTTCTTCACTTACAAGTCAGAACTCTCTCTCTCTCTCTCTCTCCCTTAAAAATCCGTTTTTTGTTTTCTGTGAATGGATTTTCATGAAATTAATTCATACCCAGTTTAATTACTCTGGTGTTTGATTCCAAGAACCCTTAACTTGTTTAGTTGGTTGTTTGGTGTGTTGGTTGCTTATTAGTTATTAATCTTTGTTTGATATGTTTTGTGGAAATGGAAAAGTCGATCTAGGGTATCTACTAAGACTTGTGGCTTGTGATTGTGGGAAGAAAGTTTTATGGGTGTTTGGAAATTCTGGATTCTGCTGTTTTCTTGTTATGTGGTCTTTAAAATCATGAAGTAGCTTACCCCCACTTTTTTGTTTTGAGTCTGTGAGTGAAATGAACCCATCTTTTAACTCTCTGATGCATATGGATTTCGGTTGTTCAGTAAATTCTAGAGTTTGCTTATTAAGTATTATTGGCTTGATGATTGTTAAGCTCTGAGAAAATAAATTTAGCTCTATTGTCTGTATGTTTGTTTACTCTGAACCTTTGATGTATTATTCTCCCTTTTTCTCTAACACCTGTTTCTCTATGCACATGGGCATGTCAATGATTGATTACTACTGTTTGGATTGTACTTGATTGAGATATAGGTGGTGAGGATGTCGACTCCTTCAAGGAAAAGACTGATGAGAGATTTTAAAAGGTTGCAACAAGATCCACCTGCTGGCATCAGTGGAGCTCCTCAAGACAACAATATTATGCTTTGGAATGCTGTTATCTTTGGGTGTGTAGGAGTTTACAAATCCTGAAAACTTTCAATTTTCTTAATTGTATATTGCTCTTTATTTTGTGGTTTTGGTTTTTGGTTAATTAAATATATATTATAGCAATCTAATTGTGCTTTTCTTGCTGCTTTTCCAGACCAGATGACACCCCCTGGGATGGAGGTACAGTTATATCTTCTACTTCATTTAACTGAAAGACTTCGTATGTTGTGTCACTGATTTCTCATATTATAGTAATCATTTGTGACTTCTTGTATATGAATGAACTACATCGATAGGTAGTGGATGAACAGATTTTCATTCACAAGTAATTGATAGATATGAAAGTTGGTGTTACTAGAAGTGTCAAATATGGTGCTTTTCTTTTATTTGATTCATACAAACATGTGTTCAACTTGTAGGTGTGTCACACAAGGGTTACTATTTGATGTATTTTTGGTGTTTAGTTTTTGGGTTATTGCTCCAATTGTAGACAAAGAAGGTTTAAATTGACCTGTATCATGAATATTTAATGATACCTGGACACTGTATCTTCTAATTTCTGGACTTTCATCTGTGTTTTTCAGGTACGTTTAAGTTGACACTTCAGTTCACAGAGGATTATCCTAATAAACCACCTACAGTGCGCTTTGTTTCTCGAATGTTTCATCCAAACAGTAAGTTCAAAATTACCCTGCCATCCATTTTGGAGTTAGAATATCATTTGAAATAGTTATGCGGTCAATGCATGAGGGTTACCATTATGTTTAAACTAACAACTTCAAACTGAAATGGGAAGTATTTTTTTCTTTAAAAAAAAAACTACAAAATTAATCTGGCTTTTGGAAGTTATTGTAGAAACAGTTTCTGCACACTGGTGGTGATTTTGTCTTCCTGCAAGCTTTCTTTAAGAATAGTTTATCTTTAAAATAAAACATACATTATTGTTTAGTACTGTCCAGGTTTGTCACTTTGGTTCTATAGAGTGTTGATATCACTTTTTCTTCCCTTAATAAAGTTAGTCTTTTGTTAACGGCATCCTGTAATGCGGTTCAAATTTATTTGTATTTGTTTAAAAGAAAATTTGTATTTTAGATATTTAAATGCATGCTAAATTTCTGTAATAAAAAAACATGTATAGAGGATGAAATGGCCCTTTTCTCGTATCTCACATCTCTTTCCTGCACAAGCTGTTTTTGGGGATTGATATGATTAAAGTAGAGATCTTAAAAGTTCATATATAAATATTAAGGGTTCCCTTTTTGTCATTTGACATGACAAGAGCACTTTCCTACACACACAAATCAAGTGTGGGTCCCACGCTTAAAAAAAAAAAGTCAAACCAAAATCAGGATACGACGCCGTATCCTTGTTGCAGGAATGAACAGTGCCATTCCTGCAACATGATTCTTATATTTCCCAAATATTAAATGATTAGGATATTTTGAGACCTGTATAAGAATTGACATACTTGTACCATCTAATAACTTTATTAGACAATTATTTTAAAACAATCTGACTGTTGAATCATACAAAGTTAATAACTTAAAATGTTGATCTTAGATACCAAATTCATGAAAATTTTAACAATTACTAGAATGTGATCAAGCAGTGCATATTTTTATTTGTTTGAAAAAAATGTTATATCTTAATTTAAATTGATGGATATGAATTTTGGTTAGCATGATAATAACTTTCTATCTCGTTCTAAGCCCCTTTTTACTTGGCAATTTTAGTTTATGCGGATGGCAGTATATGCTTGGACATTTTACAAAATCAGTGGAGCCCAATTTATGATGTAGCTGCAATACTTACCTCAATCCAGGTAATTGTGATTCACTTGATATTTTGGTGTTTCTTTAAGACAATAAATGGCTAAAATGATTTGATTGTACCCAGTCCATCAATTTTGTCTACTATACAGTTTGTATCAATGTTGAATATAATTTGCTCAACCAAGGAAAAAAGAGAAAAAATCTGTTATGCAGATTGTTTTTCTTCTATATTACTTGAATTACTTGAGTCTTTGATTATGTTCTGTGTGTGCCTTTACCTGCATTGACTTATGAAATTATGAAACAAGAAACCACTTCCTTTCTTTCAATTAGAGTTGTGTACTCGCTCTAGGTGTCATATGTAGATTCATGTGCAGTTCCGATTCATCCGTCTTCAATATAATTCTCTCATTTTTTGGTGTTGCAGTCTTATATCCAAACCATTTTAGTTCACTCTGTCATTTGAGACTGGGAAACCCAAACTTTAAAGTTAATTTCACAAGTAATTATTAAATCTTGGTTTTTTACTGCACCCCTTCCTCTGCTTCCCCATTAGTTTCAACCATGTCTTTAGTCGTTGTGTATCACCTACATGTTTCTCTCTGTCATTTTCTATATTGCATAGTTTCTCTTCTACACATTCCAGCATTGGAACTTTCAACTATAGTTTTATGCTTCCGACTCTCATTTTTCTTCCTTAAGTCTGCTAGTTCCTCAAGCATTAGTTATGCCCTACTGATGTTTTATATTCAATCTCTACACGAGTCAGCATTTCTCTTGGTAACATCAGGTCATCAACCATGTCAATTACCCGCTTATGATTTGTTTGACAAGTGTACAAGGTTTAAATAACAATCACATGCATTGTAATTGTAAGCCCAAACTCTAGGGACGTGAGCCTTAGCAAGGGCTTACATTGGTGTATTTATAGATGACCTATTAATGAAAGTCCACTAGTAAGAATCAAATCTAAGTCCATTTTGTGGTTGCTGTTTTATCCTACCAATTGAGCCAACCCTTGTTGGCTTCATTTTCTCTTTAATGTTAAAGAATTCATATCAATCTATCTATCTATAGATAAGAAAACGAGAGAAGTACAAGGGAACAAGGGGTATAGAAAAAATAAAGAACAAAGTAACCAAGAAAAACACATTAAGAATTTGTATATATCTTAACAGAAAAATATTTTTGCAGTTAATGCAGATAAGTTATCTGCATTTACTTCCAAAACGACGTCGTTTTGAGATTGAAAGATTAGAAAATTATAATTATAAAGACTATAATAATCCTGAAATAATTTAAAATTACAAAAATACCATGATTTTCGCCTCAAAACGACGTCGTATTGGGCTTACTGTAAATAACTTATTTGCAGTAACTGCAGAAAAAACGAACTCATATCTTAATAGAATATATAATGTTTTTATTGTGCATTGATATTGATTCTTGTTATATTTCACTAATATGGCTTTTTTGTAGCAGTCACTGTTGTGTGATCCAAACCCAAATTCTCCAGCAAATTCTGAAGCTGCTCGGATGTTCAGTGAGAACAAGCGTGAATACAACAGAAGAGTACGTGAGATAGTTGAGCAGAGTTGGACTGCTGATTAATCATCATAGAGCCACCCTGGCACTTTGTTGTCACAGTATTTTATTGAATAATCACCAGACTTGAAAACAACATTTATGTTTTTCTAGCCCCTTTGACAATGTGCTTGCTCAAACTTTCTATGAATTTATGTTCCGTCTTATTTTGTCCATGTGGTGCGCATATGTGTTTTTGTTTACTCAAACCATCATTTGTTTCATCATTATATAACATATGATGACTTGTAGCTAAACAGACTATTTTGGTTAGCCCCTACAAAAAAGTTGTCCTTAGCCTTAGGAAAGTGTAAAGGCGGAGCAAGGAGTACATGCCATGCCAGTACAAGTATTACACACTATTTGAGGACTTATCAATTAAGTACCTTAATTTTATTGAAAAATATTATTAATTAAAAAGTCAAAAATATCTACCTTACACGAAAAAAAATACTTGGTATACATGACAACTTTTTCAATTGATTATTTTTATCAAAGTTGATGTTCTTAATTAACCATACAGTAAAGAGGTTTTTTGTTGATGTCTTCAAGTTTATTTATGCCTTTAACTGATTGGAACTGTGTTTTTTTTTTTTTGGGTAACATGTGTTTGTTTTTATAATCAAACTTAGAGGTTAGTAATCAATTGTAGAGAACTTTTTACCAGACAAAAGTTTAGATTAGGGAAATGTATGCCTAGGTAAGATTGTAAACGGCCTCGGAAGGAGGAAACCTGAGAAACTGGTTTCGACTGAACCTTGACCCCTAAGAGCAGGTTTATTTTATTTTTGTTTTTATTTTTTTTATAGAATTTTGCTCCTTTAAAATTGATATTTTAGACGATAGATTGCAACAAAATACTTGCACATATATAATAAACTATGAAGTTATTATAATTTACTTAATTTTTCAATCAACTATTAAAATTTCGCACTTTATTTTATGAAGGGCAGCCCTTATTATAGAGAAATCAAATTTTAAAATATTGTACATTCAGTATAAAATATCCCACAAATCGTACTGTGACGTGGCAAAACTCAATGAGTGATATCAGATTAACTCCAAAGTGAAATACTATAATAAAGCCTGTAGTTCTATGTATGCATCTGGGGAAAAAGAAAAGAAAAAAAGAGAAGAAAAATCTTATGATTTATTGGAACCATGGTAATCCAAAGGAACAAAGGATTGGTACGAATCCAACAGAAATACAAATGTGATAGGAACTTCAATAATAATAATAACAATAATATGGAAAAATGCAGGCCAAATTGTGTTTTTTGGCCTTATAGAAGAGATTACATATTTACATTATCATTTATTCATTATGATAAATGAACTTATGAAATGCTAGCAAACATTTGTTATTGACAGGTGGTTTACAATTTTGTGCTGAGGTTTCCACTGCTGGTCCACGACTCTTGAACTTGCATTGAGTACTGTAAATTCCACAGAACATCCTCTATTGAAGGCCGATTACTAGAAACCTTGTATAGACAATTCATTGTAATCTGAACTGCAGTCTTCATTGATTCATATGCATAAGTTCCTCTCAGGGAAGGATCAATAGCACTTCTTAGTATTGATGCTGCTTCTGATGAACCTTTCTCCAGCTGAACATGTTAAAGAGATAATCAAAGATAAGCAAAATATGTATCTTGATTTGGTTTCCATATTTTTTGGTTGCAATCAGATTATGCACTTGCAATTCTTCAATGGGGTTTAAAACATCTATTATGTAAGATTAGAAAACTTTAAAATTTGTTATTATTTTATTTGTAAGATATCTAACAACAAAAAGTGTTATGAATACCTCATCCTTCAGCTCCTCTACTTCACTAGAGGATGTAATTTGTTTGCCAGTGATAATTTCAAGTAGAATAACACCAAGCTGGTAGATATCTTCCTTTTCTGCATTATTTGTGCTGCATATGGGGTTAACAACATATTATACTTAGGATACAACAATGGAATAAAACAGAAGAAAGAGTTTATTAAGCAGAGAAATACCTGCCAATATTTTTGGGGGCACTTTGTTCACTAAGTGCACTCTGAAAATTGGTCAAGGCAGATACCATTGCAGGTTAGAGTTCTAGATGATGCAATCATGCATATATTACTGAGAGAACGATCAAATTATGTAGTGTGTTCTAACCTTGGATGGCAAAGGAATGCTGTATTTACTGACTTTTGCATTGAGACTATCATCCAACAGAATGTTCTCAATCTTCAAATTGTTGCCAAATATGGCAGGAGCAACTCCTGTGTGTAAGAAATGGATTCCTCTTGCAATGCCTATGCTGATTGCCATTCTCTGTGGCCATTTCAGCATTTCCCTCTTTCTCCCATCTGTTGAATGAAGACTCATGTTACATTTTTTGGGATATCCAAACCTTTGTTTTTTCTTTGCATTAAATTCTCTGTGATTGTTTACCTGTAAGTTGATCCCTTAATGAAACATTTGAGACGTGTTCAAATACAACGAAGACTGTGCTTGTTGTTTGGGGAGGGTCCTGGTGAGTAATTACACAGTGTCCTAGAACACTCACTATATGCCTATGTCTCAAATTGGGTAATACCTCTAGGTGCTGCATAATGCTGCGGGGCAAACCCTTTTGCTTTATTTTTATACAATTAACTAGGACCACTGAACCATCTCTGAGCCAACCTTTATATAGCTGTGATGATAAATGCCATTACAACTTAGTCATGTGGGTTCCATCTCATTATGGAGCACAAGTTAGGAATCCATAAAAATCATTTTTACCTGTCCCTGTGATCCTTCTCCTATTAAATTTGATGGGTCAAAGTTGTTTGTTGCATCTTCAATTTCCTCTGATGTGAAAATACAGTATGGTGGCAGTCCAACTGCAGCTAGCCTCATTGTCTGAGGAACACGTCCTATTCCCACAGGAGAAACCAGATTAATGCATCTCTTGAATGAAGGAATAAGAATTTGAATAAACATCTAAACCAACTGGGAGTAATAACTATGGTATAAATGTGTATACGATTTATCATACCATCAGTTAATAATAATAAAACAAAAAACAATAGTTTAGATGATAGGGAGCTTCTTCTCCTAATTTGAGAATGAAAAAATTTAATGATTGGAGAACCATCTCTAATATAGGTACGACGGTGCTCAAACCGGACTATTTGGATTTACGATGGACTTACTGAAAAAATACTAATAAAAAGAAAAGAAAAGAAAAGAACATAATGGTGGCCTTACTTGCATCAATATTTGGTCTTGAAGAAGCACGGGCAGAAAATTTATCAGCAACAGATCTGTGAATCTTATGATCTAATCTTTCTGCTTTGGACTTCCTCAAGATGAACGCAATGAGTAGAGCCAGAAGTGCTGCAATTCCAACAACCCCTCCAATTATACCAAGTACTAGGCCTAGTTCCATACCTGATTCCTTCTTCGCCATTTTAGCTTGAGGAGGCTTAACAGCTAAGGCTGCTTCTTTCTTGCAATATGAAGATGGATGTTGTTGATCATTTAACTTTCTGGTTGTTGACAAACAATTCCCAGAATATAGTACCTTGGCCTTTGAAGACAATGAACCAAGGCAGGATGGTAATTTTCCTTGCAGAAGGTTGCTTGAGATATCCACATATGTTAGTGCAGAACTACAAGCTATATTCACTGAGAGGTTACCTCTTAGATGGTTTGTAGCCAAGTTTAGGTACTGGAGGGAAGGAAGAGAGAAGAGAGAGGTTGGGATATTTCCAAACATTTCATTGGAAGAGATGTCAAATATCTGAAGTTTATCAAAGTGCATTAGTTGGGGAGGAATCTGATATCTCAGAGAATTCTTTCTCAAGATAATACTCACAAGATTGTTTTCCACAGAAGGGAATTCAGGACCAAGTTTGTTACCACCCAAATTGAGCTCTTCAAGAGAAGTTAGCCTTGTGAGATCTGGGACACTTCCATTGAAGAGATTATCAGCCAACACCAGACTCCTCAGATTCTTCATTGATGATATTGATGATGGGATTTCTCCATGAATGAAATTTGAGCTAATGTTTAGCACTTCCATAGACCAGAACCGGTTGATCTTGGCTGGTAAAGGACCCCACAAGCCCAAGGACACCAATGACAACACCTTTAAATTTGAAAGCTTTGTCATGACAGTAAATAAAGAATCAATGGAGAAGCTTGCTGAAAGAGTTTGAATGGAATTCAAAGAAGCTGTTATGGGGCTGTGTGAAGATGGGGAGCTCTTGTTTCCAACAATAGTTAATTCTGTCACATGACCATTTGAACACACTATCTTAAGGGAAGGTGATGGAGGGAGGAAGCAGAAGTTGGTCCAGTTTGTCCATCCTTGAAGAACTTGAGGATATTGAAGAAGTTTTTGAACTTGGAAAATAATTCTATTCTCACTTGGTGTTAGCTGTGCAATTGAAGTAGGAGTAAATAGAACAAGAATGATTGCAGGAAACAAGTAGTAGAAAGAAACCCAAAATTTCTTCATATTCTTAGGCTAAAATATTTGAAGGAAGATAGAGATTAACCAGTCACAGCATACTATACTTCAGAGTTCTAAGTTGAAGCAAATGAATTAACATCTAACACTAATAAGCAAAACTGTGACTGTAGCAGTTAAATTGCTGAGAAGATTGCATTACTTTCACCGAGTGGCTATATGAAACAGAATCTTTGATCTTGTCTATTTTATTCCTTTTTGTTTTTCTTTACAGTTGTGCAGAATATAATAATTTAAAGAGTAAAAGTTATCTGTCATAATATAATGATTGCAAGAAAAGATATTTGATGGGAAATTATGAGAATAAAGAATTTCACTAATGTGGAGCAGGTGGACAATGGGGGAGAGGACCCAAGTTTGTAAAGTGGATCTGAGATCTGAAAAGAATGAAATTTCAAAATTTTCAATGAAGCCACCATGAAAGTAGGAAGTTTAGTGAAGGAACCTTATTACACACATCACATATCACATGGAAGAGTGCAAGGCAATAAAAAGAAAATCCTGATCAGAGGGTGTGCCAACCATCATATTAAATAGCCACTTGGTTTGCTAGTTGCTACATTGCCCAAGAAATCCAAGTTTCAATGGTGCCACCAAAGTCAAAACAGCACTGAAATCAAAGTTGCAAGGTGCAGGAACTTGGGTGTTGACCATTCTATGATGGACCTGCATGTACCTTAACACTGCATTTTCTAAAGACTTTGTTCATGTGACCCACGTGCCGTGCCACGTGACTTTAGTGAAGGGTAGGGTTTTTGTGTCCATCATAATAATTTAACGTTTCATTGTCAACAATAATGCCATAACTGCACAATTGTTTTGTTTGGGTGGAAAGAGCTTAGATTTTGGAGTTTTGTGTTTGTGGATTTTGTGTCGGTGAGATGTTCCTCTAAAGTGAGAGCATAGTGAAGGTAAAGGACGAGGTTGCCACACACATTCTTGGTCAAATGCGTGACATTGACACATTTTTGAATGTGATATGCATTATTTCTACCTAATCCTGTGTTTGCTTATTATCCTCAGCATTAGAGAGTAAGCGTTTGTTACATATATACAGAAGTGTTGGACAACCTGTCAAGATTGAAATAGAGAAAAGGACAAGATCTGAAGGATGGTTTTAGGTAAGGTTTCCCTTCCATGCTTTGCTGGTACTGATCTATAGATTTAGTATAGTAATATAGAGCACTGGATTTGTCTTTTTGTCGCAATTTGATCATCATAATAATTTTGTTAGTAATATAAAAAATGTAATCACTTTGTTGTTTGAATGTATGATGATGGAGAATTTCAACGTTGAAGTATTTTGTAACTACTGTCAAACATGCTTAATTATAGAGTTCTTACCAATTAATTCTTATAAGCTATTATTAACTGTATCGTTCCATACCAGTACAGTCTCTGAAATCCCTATATGTTTTTTCCTCACTTGCACATTTTCTGGAAAAATTTTCACCCATCCCAAAATTACTGCAAGCTAGATGCATCTTATTAGTATAGGTACTACGAATTAATTCTTATAACCTGTCATCAACTATACTGTCTCATACCAGCACAGTCTCTGGAATCTCTCTCTTACGCGTGTTGATTCGATTCATTCATGTACCTCCGTCACTGAAAGCCTGTCAGGAGTCGCTCCTGTCTGTGCCCTTCTGCACCATGCCCTTTTCGCACTGACGATCACTTCACGTCTTCGTCAGCACCCAAGATGTTATATATTTTGTTAATATTTTATTGAAATAGAGAATATGGGAGAGTTTGTAAAAGAAGATTTTGCTGAATAGAGAATGCATGTGTTGAGATTTTGTTGAATAGAGAATGCAAGTGCTCAAATTTGGCAGAATATTATGTACTTTCGAGAAGTTTGATAGAAATAAAATATGAAAAAAAATGTTTGTACCTTCAAACCACAGTTATTTTAATTAAAATAATTATTTTGTATTTAATATTTAAATTACAAAAACCTTTCATTTTCTCACACCGTGATTTCTATTTTGTAACTCATTCTCTCAGCATAAAATACTATAATTTTGATTAAAATAATATAATTTTATGTCCTTAAAAAAATAAATACTAATCTCATAAAATATAATTGAAATAGCGATGGAAGTGTTCATGTTTTTGTTGAACTCGTCCAAAATGGTTGTAGTTGAGAAAATAGCTAAATATGTTATTAATGCTTATCTCATATAGTTTGGGTTAAATGGTGTTCAGGTTTTTTTTTTAACTTAAAAATGCACGCACATTTCACGAGTGTTTTTGTCAATCCGAGGATTAAAACTATGAACCGTTTACACGCTTAATCGCTTACTAGCATTTCCCTTTATTAAAAACCTCAACATACCATCTTAATTGATTCAATGGCTAAAAGGGAGCAAACTTTTGGTACATTTTGTGTATCAAACTCTGTTAAAATGGATAATTTTTTTTCTTCATTTTAACCCTTATTTTTTTTATATTTATCTTTATGTCCCTTTAAATTTTTCTCATTTAATAAATAGGTATGCCAAGTTTGGTACACATGTAATATTAAATATATTTCTCAAAGGGCTAACTTCGGAAACGGAAATCAATTTGTTTTTAAAAGAAATTTTTTTTTTTGGTAATCAAAAGAACACTTTTATTTCCATACCTAAACTCATATGTTTGTCTTTTATATCTATTTTGATGTTTTTATAAGGGATATTTTGTGGGTTTAAATTGATCATATATATATATATATATATATATATATATATATATATATATGGTAAAGCTTTGTTTTGGAGGTTACAAGAAATTGAACACAACACACTACACACACACCCCACACCACTAGGCTAACCCTAGTGGTGCATATATAGGGTAAAACTATCATCATGTAACATAATCTAAATAATTTTTCCTACTCAAACAAAAATGCATGTGGGTTCCATACATATAATAAAAACAAAAAATAAAAAATCCTGGTGCGGAAATAAATGGGTGAGTGGGTAAAAAATTTTATATCATGTTACATAATATTAGTTTTCCCAATATATATGTAGGGCAGGTTCTAAAACTAACAAGTCTTATACCATATCTCAACCGTTGATGGACGAAAATCATCGGTTGGTATTTATAGTATAATTAATGATTAGTTAATATTAATTAATTCATATGACTTCCTAAATTATAACTTCGAGAAAAGAGACATATCTCTAGCCTCCAAAGATTTTCCAAGAATTTACTTGTGATAGAGTTTGAACCCCTGGTCCAAGCAAAAACCCTTACAAATTCAGTTGCCAACTAAATTACCTTTAGGAGTCACTCTAAATATATTTTTAATTGAGGTGATTAATGACTTGAAACCCCCCTCCCCAATATTATCACCTCTCTCTCACACTCCATCCTTTTTTCTTTGTTTTTTTTTTCTTTCTTTTTTCCTTTTCTCTTCTTTTAATAATGACCCTAGCTGGTAAATCTTGATTAGAGGTTTAATTTAAGAATTTAAATGCCATAATTAGATTCAGAGTGTGATTTCGAGTATTTTGACTGTAATCATGACTAGGTTATGAACAGTGCGTTCTGCCGAATGATCTGCATTCTTGTGAATTACCCGGTAGAGCTAAAATGAGTAAAATGATTTTCGAGACATAATTTGACAATTCTGACTCCAAATATGAGTTCAGAACAAAAAATTGTATAGCCTGTCACTTTCCGTGAAAATCTCGTGAATAGTGTTTTCTACCGGGTATTTTGTACTGCTGTTGAAGCAACCGGTAGAGTGTAGAAACAAATAATTGATGAAATAAGAAAAAGAAAGTCCAACATATGCCAAGCAAGTCAAAATAAGCCTAAGTATGATAAATTTATAAGTTTTAAGTTTCGTAAGCAAACGGTGTACAGTTAGTGATTCACAGTGCATTTCATCAAAAACGGTACAGAAACCATACTGTGAATTATGAATATTGTTCCTTAGAAAATAAAAATTAATATAAATGAGTTCAGAAAAATAAAAATATGTTCGTAGCTTTAAGTTAGTTTCGAGCCAATCTAAGTCAAAATGCGCGAAAGAAAAACAACCGGTAAAAAGAACCACCTATGCATATAAGTCCAACTCACTTAAGTAATCACTATTCACTCAAAAAACTCTCTCTTCTCTCTCTTCATACCCGAGGTGTTCATCATGGAAGGGGGGGGGGGGTTAGGGTTTGAATTTATTTCTTTGATTTCTCCATCATCAATCCTCCAAATCCAAAAGTCTATTACATGAAATTGATTGTAAACCACCCAATGAATCCATTCCACCGATCAATTTGAGCTATAGTTGCTTGTGTGAGGAGTTTTTCCCTTTCCCCTTTTCGATTTACTATTCATCGAGGGTGGGAAATTGAGTTTTTGATGGAGCTTTTCTTGGAGGTTGTTGCTCACTAGGCTTTGTACAAGTGATTAGAGGTAATAAACCTCTATTTCCATGGTTTTATTTTGATGATTTAAGTCATGAAATTTATGAGCATGTTTTGGGTGGGAAATAAATTAGTTTAAAACTTGAATTGATGATGTATTATGGATGTTTTGGATATAGGAATGTTAAATAGCATTTGTGTATGTGTAAAATTGGAAAAAAAATCCATGGTGTGGGCTCCTTATGATTCAGCCTTCATAGAGTAATTAGGCTATGATGTGCAAAATTTTATTTATGTATTGGGAAGGTTTAATATGTTGGATTAAGTATAAAATTTGATGAATTAGTGAGAATGCCAAAGGGGAGAAAAATCCTATGTGTCATGCCCCTAGTTTTCAGCCATGGTGTGCTTGTGAGGGGCTTGATGTTCCAAAATTTAATTGGAACCTTTTGGATACATATGTGTATGTTTAAGTTGCTAATTAAGTGAAGAAAACGAATGGTAAAAGAAAAGAACCCTTTGCCTATTCCCTTGTAGATTTCGATCTATAGGGTGGTCTAGGGATAGATTTAGTTACATGTTACTTGATAAAATGCATAACTTTCCGGTGTATGTAATGGTTGAGTTAAAGAAGGAAATGACTTAAAAATTGTTGAAAGATGTAACATCCCCAGCCTCGAGCCGGTTCAATTAACATACATATGATACTTAACAGAAACAGCGGAAGATTTAAACTTA